TTTGTGCAATGTCAAAAATCATCTCAAAAATTTTTGACTTATGGGAGATCAAATAGTCTTGACTTAGATGCGTATCGTAATCTATAAATGTGTCGAGATTGAGGCTTAGCTATCATACCCTCACACATATCTAGTCACAAATATCATAGTGGACTAAATGCGCCAATACAAATGACCTTCTATAGCTTTCCTACTTACTTGTGCGCAACCATTGCGAACAAAGTTACACATTCACATGAGAGCAAGATGTCACAAGTGAGTGGGCCCGAGAGGGCCTACTCAAACCATCAATGTCATCTTCTCATTAATGTGATTGAGTATAATAAGCCACCAGTTCATGACCAATGATAAGCATATACAACGGAATCCACCATGTGCGCCTCACATGAAGTGGTTCAAGATCACTACCTCTTGCGCAATTACCTCTCTAAAGATATTTTGGTGACCAATCTACGTTCATTCAAGATGCGCCCAACTAGCGCATTGAATCTTACAAAGGGCAAATTTATACACTACCAGTAAAGTATCCTATCCACAGTCTAATGAGCAAGGTCAAGGTCTAAAACTACTCAGTTGACCATCTAAAGAGATAGCACTCATTATGCGGAATACACCCACATAGCATACTTCAGGCTCCCACAAAAAAACAATCAAGGAATATAGGTCATTTGTTTCTCCCAAAGACAATCCGAGGATTCACTCAATAGCTAAGGCTCTAGCTTTTATCGATAGGTAAGTCAATGGGTTTGCAATTTCGCATTTAGAATCATTCTAGGATATTCCTTATGTAAGTCATTAAGGACAAACCGAGAATTTTCCCAGAACAATCTCTAAGGATCTTACATCCGAGCATACAAATAACATCACCCATGTTCATCATGTCTAAAACAGAGGACTGCCAACCCTAGGTGGAGACAACCGTATAAATTCCTGGCTCATAATGACTAAGTAAGGAAAAATTTCTTTTGGACCATTGATCATGCCTCAGTGGTCTTCATCGATCATCGTTGGCCTATCATGGCTCAATGAAATCTAAGAACCACTATTTGGGTAACTGTTTTAGGCCGTAAAAGATTTATTAGAACTAGCAATCCTTTTTGCGCTCCTAACTTTTCACCATAAAAGCAGAAGGTAAATCTCTACAGATCTACTTATCCAATTCTCCAACAAGAAGTTGGGTCACAACGTCCACAAATCAAAATTCCGAACTCATGTCAATCATAGCCTAAGTCAAGGTAACTTTACTCCCCAGGAGAAAGTCTTCTCATGGTTTACACCTTCCTCAATGGTGCGACTTTTCGGTATCCCTTATGCCTCAAAAAATGACTATCCAAATCGCGCATAACTTTAGAACAGTTTCGCGTCATAGCGG